TTTTTTTTTTTTTTTCAGGTGGAGACAGAAATCCAGCGAGTCTCGGAGGCATATGAGAACCTTGTAAAGTCATCCTCCAAAAGAGAGGCCCTGGAGAAAGCCATGAGAAATAAGCTTGAGGGTGAAATTCGAAGAATGCACGACTTCAACAGGGATCTGAGAGGTGAGGGACTTCCTTCTGAAGCACTGGCCAAGGTAGTGAAGGGAAAGGCGGGGGAGTGTACCTTCAGGCTCTCAGGGCTTGACCACCCCGCTAGCATGGTCGCTAAGTTGCAGGGCATAGATAAGGCTAGGGTTCGGGAACTGCAATAGAGCTTGGTCCCAAGTTTGCTTAATCGAAGTGGGATGAGGTGATGTCTGAATCAGACGGTGTCCCTCCCGTGACTCCCGGATCCTCCTGGCCCTGCCCCCACAATCTGTGCTGCTTCTCTTCCCTTATGGGTTTTGCAGAAGCCTTTCTTGGGGCGGTGCAAGCTTGAAACAGTGATGTCCTCCACTGTTTCTAGGGCTCCCTGCTTGTGTTTCTACCTCAACCTTCATCACCTTCAAAACTGATGGCCTGGGGGATGTTATCTTCCGTCTTTGGATTTAGATGACCTTATTGATCAAATGAGACAACTGAACTGGATGCTGCCCATGGTCCCCTTCTAGCTCTGATGTCACACGATTTTAAAGACTTTTTATGACGACTTTGGTGCTCTTTTTTCCTGGTGAATGAAAGATGTCATATATTCAGGGGTAGATTCCTTCATTTGCATCTAGAATTCCACACTTAGGTTTTGTCAGTGAGGAGTAAAAGTGTTCGGTACTCACCTCCTCCTTCCCTACCATGGCTTAGTTCTGTTTGGGGTTCCACATTTGCAAATCTGTGTCTGTGTCTGTGTCACCTATTCCTGAGTAACAAGAAGAAGCAGGCTTGTTTTGCCCAAGATCAGTATTTATTTTTTTATTTTTATTATATTTTTTTATTTTGAGAGAGAGAGCAAGAGCGCGAGTGGTGTCAGGGCAGCGAGAGAAGGAGAGAAAATTCCAAGCAGGCTCCACCCTCTCAGTGCAGAGCCCGACGCAGGGCTCAAACTCATGAACCGCGAGACCATAACCTGAGCTGAGATCAAGAGTCAGACGCTCAGCTGACTGAACCGCCCAGGCGCCCCCCTCAAGATCAGTAGTTAGAGGGCAGACACCATGTGCTTGGAAGTTCGTATATGAGGACCTGTTTGTTGATTGTCTTTGAATTCCACAGAGCGTCTCGAGACTGCCAACAAGCAGCTTGCGGAGAAGGAATATGAGGGGTCGGAGGATACTAGAAAAACCATCTCTCAGCTCTTTGCAAAAAGTAAGTCTGAAAGCTCCAGCAGCAGGTATGAATGTGTGGTTGGGAGCGAGATGTGTAAAAAGATCACACAGTTCTGTTATCTGTCTAGAACAGCCAGAACAGAGTGAATGCCATCTAGGGATTCTTTTTCCTGTTGGGGCATAAAGTTGGGAGTGTTGTTCTTTTCCTTCTAGGCCAAGGAGGCTGCTTGCCACATTTAGTCACATCGACGTGGCTCCTTCTGGATTAAAGCAGAGAAGCCCCTTTGAAATCCCTGCTTTTGTCAAGGCTAGCTGCAGAGGACCTCAGTGAACATGGGGTCGCTTAATGTTGAAGGGATTTATTGTTGAGGGCTCTATGTGCTGGCTCTGGTAGAGATGGGATTAACATGCAGGATTGATGATTAGTGTTTGGGGTACCTGATGTGCACCTGCGGCTCCCTTGGTTCAACACCCTGTATTAAATCATATCGTCACATATCGGCAGACTCCAAGGGCAGCTACAGGAGGACCCGCCGCTATGGCCTGAACTCTGGTGACTCTGGTTGGAGAGTTGGAGGGGTGGGGGAGGGCAGAACTATGTCTTTCCTCATAATACTGTTTCCTTTGTCTGGAAATACTCCGGAGGACCGTGACAATGAACTAATCCTGTTCTTTATCGGTCCCTAATAGACTCCACCCAGCTAGACAATGCCTCATTCTTTCCAATTGCTACAATAAAACCAGCAATAAAAACTATGCAGTGGATTGAGTCCACAGGGGGAAACAGATGAACTACCCTCGCTTCTGCAGATGTCCATAATTGGTGTTCCCTACTCCCAGCCTCCCTCACTGGGGCTCCCAGCTAGAGTAGTGCATGGTGGGGACTTGTCAGGCCCCATCTCTGCTGGGCCTCCACATGACCCTTTCAAGTCATTCCATGCGGCTTCTAGTCAGCTTTTACAAGTTTGTTTGATCTTCACTTACAATACCCCCCTCCCTTCCCGGGTTGCTCTGTTGTGCTCTGGCCTCAGAAGTGGGGCTTTTTTTCTTCCTCATTTCCCTGAGCCTCCCGTTCCTTTGTCAGTATGTCTTAGAGGGAAGAATGTAGTTTTTCTGGTGTCATCAGTACCTCGTGTAAATTGTTGTGAAGTTATTTTTGCGGTGTCACCGTTACCCTGGAAGTTAGTTCGCTGGTGGAGAAGATGGCGGCCTCCCAGGACAAAACGAAACAAAAGAGAAAAATGTATGGATTCTTGCCCTGGGATCTGCTAGTTCATATTCCTCCGTGTGTGTGTGGCGATGGTATTTCAGGTGTGCCACGAGCTCTGCTACTGGTTTATACAATGTGGGAATTTAGTAGAAAAAAAAAATTGTATTAACAATGCGGTGAGGGACTGTCGAATGGTTCTAGAAGGGAAAAATGGACTCCACTGAGCAAGCGGGGAAGAGGGCATGACTTACGGCCCTTTAGTTCTTTTCGCCTTTGGACATCAACGGGGTGCTGCATGGTTGGCGCTGTGGCAAGAGCCAAGAAGGTCCTCTTGAAAAGCCTCCCTGGGGAATGTGCTCCAGTTACACTAAAGAGACCCAACCAGCTCAACCCTAGGAGAAGGCAGTCTCATTAGAGTTTAGAACAGCCTGGCCTTAAGTATGGGCTCCAGTGTGTCCTCAATTACTAATTGTGAGGCCTGGTACACGTTATTCAAGCCCTCCGAGTCTCGTTTTTTTGTTTTTTTGTTTTTTTCATATACAAAATGGAAAAGAGAATAACGCCTCCCTTGTATGGCTCTCCCGAGGATTAAGTTAGTACAATATTTTGGTGTGCAGTGAGTATTCAACAAATGTTCATTTCTTTCCGAGGTGCCCCTCTATGGGTAGGTAAAGGGAGAGTGGGAGGGAACCCGGGGCTGCCCTATTAAAGTTTCTCTTAGAAACTTAAGTATCACGGTGTGCAGAGGAAGGGCACTCTAACCCCCAAGTGAGAATCAAAACTGTCCCTTTGCGTTTCTGGTATGAGGTTTGTCCCCGTTAAAACGGGAGGGACCTAGAAAGGCAGGGGGGTATCTACGCGTGTCATGGTCATCTGTACCTACAAGGCAATCCTGGACTTATTTCAGTTGGAAAATCACGTCAGTGAGTAAAGGGTGGGATTTCAGGTTTTCTACATTCTACGGAATACCATTTTTAGATCGATTTAACATATTGTCAGGAGGAGGTAACTGGGAAAATTTTGGGGGGCTCAGTTGCTCTTTTGCCAATACAAGACCACTTGAGGAAATACAATTGAAGACCCAAGCCTACCTGTTCTGTGTGTGTGTATTCTTTGCATAATACTTTTCATAAGACTTTTTTTTTTTTTTTTTTTTTACATCTGCATTCACCTTGCTTGTGTACCACAACCATTGTTAGGTGACTTTTCTGAGTTTACATAACAAGTTAGCGGTAGAGCCAATGATAGGGTCTCAATCTTGGGTATCCTGGTGCATTTAGCCGTGTGTTAGAGGATATCTAGTAATGGGTATGATTGTCAGTTTTGCTCAGGTAAGCTTTTGAGCTAGCTCCAGAATGGCGGTATTGATAATTCATGTCTTGATAGATAAGGAAAGCCAGAGGGAGAAGGAGAAGCTGGAGGCCGAGCTGGCCACTGCCCGTTCTACCAATGAGGACCAACGACGACACATTGAAATCCGAGACCAGGCCCTGAGCAACGCCCAGGCCAAGGTGGTCAAGCTGGAGGAAGAGGTATGTGCGGTTTCCTTAAGGTAGCATATGAGTCCCAAAGAGGGGGCGAGCTGGGAAATCAGGGGCACTGGGGACTCCCCATTTTTGTGAACTGGCACCTATGCTGTCCCCCAACCGGAAGGTACCACCTGCTACTTCTCCTTACAGCTGTCCCGGTGTGAGTGGACTTTGATTTCTTTCTTCTTCCCTGCAAGTCCTTTCCTTTGGCTCCAGAAGAGAAAATCACCAAGGTCAAGAAGTAATTTCCATTTGCTCATTCAAATAATAAACTGACCACCTCCTTCCAAGTTCTTACTATGGACCTAGCCCTGCCTTAGGCTTGTGACAGGTGCATATTTTTTTTTTTTTTTAATTTCTGCCCTTACAGGGCCTTAAAGCTTTCTCTTAGAAGGGCTAAAAAATGGCTCCAGATATTTTAAAGTACTCCAAGGATCTTAAAATCAAAATGGTCCTTGTCTCCCGATATTCAGTGGGAAGTTGGTCCACTCGGGTTTAAAAAAAAAAAAAAAA